CACCCAGGTACCTGGGGGGTGCCACCCGCCCTGTCCCCACTGTCCCCGTGTCCCCTCACCTGTCTCGCAGCGCGGCCCCAGGTACCCGGTGCCGCGACAGTCGCACACGAAGCGGTTCCAGCCCTCGCGACACGTCCCCCCGTTGCGACAGGGAGCGCTGGCGCACAGCCGGGGGGGGTCCCTGGCACAGAGCGGGGCGACCCCCGGAGCCCCCCCGGTGGCCAGCAGCGCCCGCACGTCGCGGCTCCGCCCGTCCACGAACAGATCCCGCACGCAGCCCACGAAGCCGAGGCGCAGCCCCGCGGCCCAGAGCTCGGGGGGCGCGGGGGGGCCGGGCCGGCCCTCGGGGAGCCCCCCCAGGTACAGCTCGGCCCCCACGTCCAGAACGTCCCGGTCACCGCTGGCCAGGAAGGGCGTGCTGCGGCTGTTCACCGACACCGAGCCTGGGGACAGCGCGGGGGGGACAGGTGAGGTTTTGGGGGGGGGGTTTGGGGGTGTTCGGCATTCCCCGTGTGACCCCCCCCGATGCTGCTGTGCTGCGGTGTCACCTGGAACGCCCTTGGGGACATGCACAGGTGAGTCAGGGGCTCAGGGGTGTCCCCACAATGTCACCCACAGCCTTGTGGACACGCACAGGTGAGTCAGGGGCTCGTGAATGTCCCCAAAATGTCACCCACGGCCCCTGGAGACACGCACAGGTGAGTCAGGGGCTCGTGAATGTCCCCAAAATGTCACCCACAGCCCCCAGGGACACACACAGGTGAGTCGGAAGCTCATTAATGTCCCTAAAATGTCACCCACGGCCCCTGGGGACACGCACAGGTGAGTCAGGGGTCCACAGCATGTCACCTATGGCCCCCATGGACACGCACAGGTGAGTCAGGGACTCATGGATGTCCCCAAAATGTCACCCACAGCCTTGTGGACAAGCACAGGTGAGTCGGGGATCCCCAAAATGTCCCCCCCACCCCCATGGACACACACAGGTGAGTTGGGGGTCCCCAGTATGTCACCCCCACTCCTGGGGACACACAGAGGTGAGTCGGGGGTCCCCAATATGTGACCTACAGTCCCCAGGGACACCCACAGGTGAGTCGGGGGTCCCCAAAACGTCCCCCCCACCCTCATGGACACCCTCAGGTGAGTCGGGGGGGCTCTATCTCTTCCCCCCCCACGCCAAACACCTGCACCCCTCCCTAGGTGAGGGCAAGAGGGGGGTCCCCGAGCCCCCAGACTCACGTCCTTGAGGCAGCCCATGAAGTTGTTGCTGACGGGGGACCCCGGCAGGTCGGCGGTGTTGGGGGACCCCCCCACGTAGAAGAAGTCGTCGGAGCCCAGCATGGTGAAATCCTCCTGCGTGTAGCCCGTGGTGGTCAGGATGCCGTCCACCGAGATGGTCACCTGCGGCACGAGAGCGGCCGCGCTCAGCCGGGACCCCCCCGCGGCCGGGGCACCCCAAGGGCGGGGGGCGTGCAGGGGGGCACGGGGACCCCGGGGGTTGGGGGCGGCCCCGCAGCCGCTTGCATGTGCTTGAGCGTGCACACCTGCGCACACCTGTACACATCTGTAAACACCTGCACACACCTGCACACACCTGCACATACCTGTATACACCTGTACACACCTGCACACATCTGTAAACACCTGTACACACCTGTATACACCTGTACACACCTGCACACACCTGTACACACCTGCACACACCTGTACACATCTGTAAACACCTGCACACACCTGTACACACCTGCACACACCTGTATACACCTGTACACACCTGCACACATCTGTAAACACCTGTATACACCTGCACACACCTGTTCACCCCTTCCCATCCCTCACCTGCACACCCACACCTTGAGGGACACACCTGTGCACACCTGTGCGCACCTTTTCACACCCGTACACATCTGTACACAGACCTGTGTACACCTGTATGCACACACCTGTAAAAAACGCCGTTTCCATCCTAGATTTGGGGAGGGGGCACAAAAAAAAAAAAAAAATCACCCACCCCCCTCTTTTTAAATCCTGACACCCCCTGGGGCGGGGTTTGGGGTGAAAGCGGCTGGTTTTGGCAAAAATGGGGGAAAATCCAAAGGAATCGGCCCAAAATGGGGAGGGGGTGGGGTCCCACATCCCCTCTGTGAGCGACAGCTGGGTTTTGGGGAGAACCCCAAATTTTGGGGTGGTTTTGGGGCTTGTGGAGCCGCGCTCGGCCACGAGGGAGTGGATGGGAGCAAATTGTCCAAAATCCTGGGAATTTGCCCCAAAATGAGACATTTGGGGGGTCTCCATCCTGCCCCCGACCCATTTTTGGGGGGAAATTATGGAGAATCTGAGCTTTGGCTGTTTCAGGGGGTGGGATTGGTATGAAATTGCTCCAAATCCCAAAAAATCACCCCAAAAATTGGGTCTGGGACTCCATAAAAGTTTCCCGGGGAAAACGAGCCCACCCCGGGCTGGATTTTGGGGTGAAACCGGCTGGTTTGGGGACCAGGGAGCTACAGCTATGCCCTGGATGGTGTGCGGGGGGAAAATTGTCCAAAATTTCTAAAATTCATCCCAAAATGGGGGAGTGGGAGCCCACATCAACCCCTTGGGGAAAATCGGCAACTTCTGAGCCCAGCCTGACTTTTTGGGTGGAAATCATTCGGTTTTAGCATTGGGGAGCTGCAGGTGTTGGGTTTATCCAATCATCCAAAATCCCAAAAATTCCCTAATTCACACCAAAACGTGTGGGGAGACCCCACATTGTCCCAGTCGAGAAAATCACACCCTCAAAAAGGAGTTTTTTGGGAAAATCAGCTATTTTTGGCATGGGGGAGGTGATGATCGGCCACAAGATGGCGGACGGGTGAAAATTGCCCCAAATCCCTCAAATTCATCCCAAAACAGCGGGAGCTGAACCCTCTTGAGAAAAAATATCACCATCCTGACCCCAGATAAGGATTTTTTTTGGGGGAAAACCAGCTCGTTTTGGCACGAGGGAGCCGCAGCTCAGCCGCAAGATGGCAGACGGGCGAAAAATTGCCCAAAACCGCTAAAACTCACCCCAAAAACGGGGTGGCAGATGGGTTGAGGCACCACCTCACCCCCATCGAGTACCACCCGCCCCCTCGGGAAGGATTTTTGTTGGGATGGGAGGAAGAGGAGGGTGGGGGAGGGGGGTAGAACCAGCTCTCGTTTATTTTGCCACGAGGTGGGGGCGGCAGCCGAAGCTCGGCCTGCAGAGATGGCGGATGGGTGAAAATTTTGCCCAAAATCCCCCGGATCGGCCCCAAAAGGTTGGGAGTGGGGCCACGGCGAAGCCAAGGAGTAACAATAGAGTGATAACTACCAGGTAATGCAGTTTGTTTACCATAGCGTGTCCGATCCCTGCGTGCTGGCGGCGAGAGAAGGACAAAACACAAACGTGACGTTTGGGGGGCGCTTGGGGTGGGGGG